GATGGAATTTTTCGACTAGTGTCATATTGGCAAAAGTGTGCTGATTCGAAGGTGCTAATTTCGATTAAATCCGATAAGAATTAAGAAAGTTATGATTGTTTAAAGTGAAACACTAAAAACGCTGAGAACTTCCCGGACAACCTAATAATTCTGGTATACACAGCTAATGAGAAGTTTGTCAACCATGCATCGAGAACAACACAAAGCGAGGTGGAAAAGAACTGCCTTACCTCACGTTGAGGTTTCTCAAGTGATTCTCGCAGCATCCCACTCCGCACGAAGTAGGAAGCTATTCAGAACCATGTTGGCGATAGACGGCCTCGGCGCTGTTTAAATGTCAGAATCGCGATCAGGGCTATTGTTGGCGCCTAATACAGAGTTTCACAAATTTTTCTCCCCGTGTTTTTTGAATTCTGACAAAAGACCTTGTGGAACTGGGGTCTATCTCAGTATCCTCTAGGTGTCGGTATCCAACTTCGATACCTGGACCTTTCTATTTGCTATATTCTATTACTATTTACTATTTATTTAAAATCCCCCTTTATCACCAAAAAAAATCATTTCTTTTCTGAAAATTTGTATACAAGGGTAACTGATGACTCCAATCACAAATCTGACACTCATTTTTGGTGCCGAAGTCATGTGGAGGCAGCATGGCGCTGAACACCTCATGGTAAGGATGACAACGATTTCAATTCAAAACAAAGCTCCTGCGCCATACAGCGATTATTATTGTGTAGGAAAGAGTATCCCTACACATACTTCATTAACCTTGATCCCCATTTTATTCTATTTATCATCCCTCACTTATGAAAACATGTGGATAACAAGATGACCTCTCAGCCCTCGTTCGTTAATGAGGTCACTTCGCAATTAGGCACCAAGTTTTCGCACCTCATTAAAGCTGCCTCGCTGTCAGGTGCGAGCTACCTCTTAATTAGGTATGATCGTACCAATTATCCGTCACCCCTCTGCAACTTCTGGCAAAAAAATCATTTCTTTCTGAAAATTTGTATACAAGGGTAACTGATGACTCCAATCACAAATCTGACACTCATTTTGGTGCCGAAGTCATGTGGAGGCAGCATGGCAAAAAAATCGTTTCTTTTCTGAAAATTTGTATACAAGGGTAACTGATGACTCCAATCACAAATCTGACACTCATTTTTGGTGCCGAAGTCATGTGGAGGCTGCACCAAAGGATGGAGGGGGATGCGGCGAGAGCATGCGGGCTCCATGCTGCTGGTCGGGCGCAGTAGAGGTTAAGCATATAGAAAGGGTTGATCTCGGATATACTTCAGGACATCAGGCGCTCCAGTACGCTTAGATTAGGCGAGGTAGTCCCTATCTACTGCTACGCCTCAGTAGTGCTACATTGAGGTAATGACCTGCATCCACGAGTCTCGATGGGAGTACCCATACGAAAAGACCCTATAGCGTCTTCGCGCAGCACCTCTCATCGCCTAACCTCGGATGCGCCTAGGACATGGGCTGCTTGTGGTTGAATGGACCTTTGTTCTCAATATTGGAGAGGACTGCCAAAAATGCTAAAATAGTAGCTCTCCCTCTCAGTTTCTTCCTTTTTTGAGCAAATCTCTTCCTATTTCTGGATCTCCCCTTAAAAGGTTGTTATCTTAGGAGTTTTGGGAACCTCACACTTACTACATTTAACGGGCTGAACATTAAGATTTTTTTACTTTATGACATATCATGCCTTAGTTGGTAGTGGATAATACTGTGTTTCAGAATTTCGCCGCTCTCTTTTGTGTAGGAGGTTCCAGTACTTCCAAATAACCCAAGTCGAAACGAATCTCATGATGAAGAACATCACCATCAAGCTTCCCATCACGACTCCAAATGTCCGAGCTAAAAAAATGTAGTTCAAATCAAACAAAAAGCAGTTCAAAGCAAACAAAAAGCAGTTCATCCACCCGCACTATGTCTCTCTTCCCGAAAGAGAATTTGACGGATCAGGGAAATCAAGAAAATTCTGTCAAAGATCATATACGATTTACTTCCTCACCTACTCAGTAACACCATCGAAATACCCCAAAAATACGGCATTGGGGTACGATACTGTGCCCTTTCCAGTAAGATTTTAGTGCCAAACATCTCGCACTTTAACTCACTGCAATGGGCCACGGATGAGGATTTCCACTAAAGCATGGGAGAGAGCAGCTGTGGGGTTGTGGAACCAATATATTTTTGAATGGTTACAATCGAACTATCACGTTATGGTTGGTGGAATTGTGCCGGAAATGAATCGGTTGATAGGATAAGAACAACTATGGCAAATACTCGTACCACTGAACTCTGCTCCTTTGTAGTCAATGAGTTGGTCCTCTTTCGCTTTTGGATAGACAGCCAATATGAAGAAGCCTGTTGTCATACACAAATCCCATATCATTGTCAGACACTGTAATATTAAGGCAATTGACGATACAGGAACCTCGTGGTCTGCCCAATTCGAAAGTGTGATAGTTTCACAAATTAGACCACTTCCTCTCCGATTATTTCTTTGCTGCTTAGATTTTCAACAAGTGCAGTCATGCAAGTGGAAAGGGCCAACTCTTGAGCCATCGGCTGGATGGAGTATCCAGAGTGTCCGCTTCGTCCTGCGACAAGGTATAAAACTCACGGGGTATATGGCCACAGTTGGATAAGCCGTAGCCTTTGGCTTTGAGGTATCGCCAGTTTGCAAGAAATCAGCCTCATGCTTTCCCAGCCTTTTTTCCCTCTACCAACCTTTTTCTTACTCCCGTTCCCACCTAGACTCAGCGTTTCTCTGGAACTGCTAATCGGGAGTGGGCATATAAAGTGAAGAGGACTATTGCTAAAACACCTTAGCCATGTTTTCAGACTCCCGAACTCAGAGCTACTATTGCTACTCTTTTTGCAAAAGAAGATTAAGCTTTCCCCCTCCTCCATACACATTGAATATGACTCTCTTCGAGGAATCCGCGGTTCAGTGCACCATGGTAATCACCTCGTTCAAGATCTAGAAGCACTTGCAGAGGGCCATTGGATGGAAAAGAATTCAGTCATTCTGGGATGTCCATATTTTCTATTTCGTCTCTTAATCGTGATGAAATTTTGAATGCCATCTGACTCAAGCAATGAAATGGTGGGCCTAGCTGATGCGCAAGCCGGAGCAGGGATAGCCGAGTGGTTGAGCGTGTAGGTTCATCTCTGCACCCTGGGCCACGAGTTCGATCCCCGCTGACGCACAAACCATGCCTTGCAAGAATTGCAAACATGGTGCAGATACCAGCGTCATTCTAAGGTTGACAGACCGGATGGAGAACCCACCCACAGCAATAATGAAAAGTCGCACAAGTAGTGTCAGTGCTAGGACATCATCCCGAAGTGGCGCGCGAAACCCTTGTCCAAGCTCTGTGGTCAGTATGCAAAGGCTCCTGAGCGACCTCGGCCAAGGAAACTAGTCCACTTACCGGAAAGGTAGCCGGTAGCCGACCTCATGAGACACAGGAATATCAAAGTCCTTTAGCTCCAGAAACGAAGCGACAAGAGCTCTACTACAATGGAGACACCAGCGGAATGGTGTGGTGATAGCCATGGCAGAATGCGATGATTAATACCGTAACACGTTGCCTCCATAGTGAAGGACATGTACGATGGGGCTAAGGCAGCTGTACGCACTCCTGACGGCACGACAAATGAGGTAACTTCTTGAGGTACACCGAGATCAGCCCTCAGCTCATTCCTCTCCTTCCTGACTGTGGTTGTCATGGCAAAAGAACTTATGGAGGGGCCACTGGAAACCATCCTCTAGGCTCATGGCATTGCCTTGATGATGAATAGCAGGGAAGAAATTCAGGGCAAGGTGCAGGTGGCCAGATGTGCTCGCTGAGAATGGACTTCGGCTGAATAAGAAGAAGGCTGAGTTCTTGAGCTCTAAACAGTAAACCGAACTGGTCGTAAACCGGAACGGGGAAAGCATTGTGAGGGTCGACGACTTCCAATGCCTGGGAAGCAATATAACAGCTAATGGTAGCGTGGCGGGCGGTAAAGGCTCGGATAAATGCAGCCTGGATGATATGGAGGGAGTCCACAGGTATCTTCCGCGACAGTCGGTGCTCGAGAACACTCCAGAGCAAGATGTACCGGGGCCTGCAATGCTCTACATCCGTGTGTGCTGACCCATGTACAGGAACCACGAAAGGCAGCTCCATTCAGCTGAAATGGGGATTCTGAGATGGGCCTGCGGCGGGACACGACTAGACAGAGACAGGAACGAGGCGTCAGGGCAGTGACTGAGGGCAGCGACTGCGGTAGTTTAGGCGCGTATAAGGATTCCTAAATACCAGCCAGTAAGGAATTGTGGAAGTGGGTTTCGAAATGCAGGGCAGGCGACCATAAGGAACCCTGAAGAAAATACGAAGAACGTTATCAAGATGGACTCAACTGAAGCGAATCCCACGGCAGAAGGTCAGTGGATCGGAACAAAGGGTGAGTTCTAACAAGAACAACAGACGCTGCGAAGGTGCGGTACTAACGATAGGGAGAAGAAGAAGAAGTTGATGCAAAAGTCAGCGTATTGTTTTGGTACCTACTAACTAGCTGACCCCTGAAGAATTAGAGGTTTGTTTGGCTTGGGTCGACTTAGGATTTGAACTAACTAATATTCCTGCTGTGCTCCGCCTTGTGCCCCTGAACTACTCCGCCCTGGAGTGAAGGATAAAGTCTCCTACAGTCCTGATCAATCCTTTTTAGGATGCGGCGCGTATTACTTCCACTCAGAATCGTTATGGCTTATTGAATGCGGTTGGTCTACACCCTTGCTTGGGGACCAGCCAGTGGACTTGTCCTCTCAGACGAAACCAGCACCATTTTACCACCCAGGAGGGTTAAAATCTGAGGAAAGCTCGGATGTTCTGAGAGTAAGCCGATCTGGAATTGGAAGCCAGGACCGCGTGCATACTAAGCGTGTCACCACTACATCACCTCCGCCCTGAAGTGCTAGTAAACAGTACATGAACTCACGAGGAATATGAGATGAGACTGGAGTAACCTCGGTTTTCTTTCCACACTCCAACTCCAGCTGTGATTATTTGTAACACGAGAAGGAAGAGATTGACACTAAGAATGATGATGCTCCCTACAAATTCATACAGGGACAAAAGCATGAATCAACTCTTTAAAAGTTGTTGTGAAGGCGCTGGTACGATATAGGACCGCAGAGCCTCGGTGTAAGTTGACCAATCCCCACAAAATGCGAAATTCTCTTCTTTATACTTCAAGCTGCGGCTCCCTCCCCACCCTAAGCCTAGAGAAAATTTCCATTACCCAGCTCTCGGTACCGTCCAACGAAAATCGAAGAACTGGTGGAAATTGCGTTCAGTCTATATTCGAGAGCAGAAGTGTTTCGAAGTACGTAGCTGACAGAGCACCGCCGGCTGTAGGAGTCCAGATGGTGAATAGGAAGAAGTGCGTATATACCTTTTCACTTTATATGCCATTTCCGCTTCAAATTCACCACTTTTGAAACCAAACTAACCACCTTTCAAACCGAATTAACCACTTTTCAAATTAAATTCACCACTTCCCCATCCAAATTCACGTTTTTCAAACAAAACAACTTCCTAGATCAAACTCACCACTTTTTAAGACAGGCAATTAATCGACCGGATCACATTAGACACCACCGCGAGCGTTGCCTCGACTGCCACGTCTACTTGTTGGCACGGTCATGAAGTTGTGATTTTATATCAACTTCTGCTTCCGTGATTTTTTTGTCTTTTGCTGTTTCGTACACTTTGCATGAAGTGGACATCGACACACGGCCGACTTCGCCCACTCTTTAAAGAGTTTTTTGCGAACATCGAATTTCATAACTTTTTCAATTTTGTTGATTTCACATCCACTCTTCACAGAACGGAGCTACCATAGACGCTCATTTATGCGCCGCATTCATGCCCTTAGCAGCGCCCTCCTTGCATCGTCTTGCAAAATTTTATCTTCAAAATTTTCACTTTTTGTGCTGTGCTGCTACAGAAAGCTCCGCCCACTTGTGAAAAATGATCAGGATCGGTAGTTCAGAGCCTGAGCTGTAGGGTCACATTCGTCACTCAGATAAGGTTCGGTAGTCATTCAGAACAAACCAGGCAAAGTTTGTTCCAAATGCCGAAAGGCCTCAACGTCAAAATGCCAGGTTCTGAACTGTCGATACGTGTCGATCCGGAACACTTTTCAAAAGCGGGCTTGGCATCTGCAAAGTGGGCGGAGCTTCCTGTATCAGCACAAAAAAAATTGGAAATTCTGAAGAGAGACCAAGATTTCGCAAAAAGATGCAAAATGTGCGTAGCCGAGGGAGCAGAACCTGATGTGTCGGTGCGTAAATACGCGTTTATGGGTAGCCCCGTCCTGTGAAGAGTGGGTGTGAAATTAACAGAGTTGAAATTATGAAAATTCGATGTTCGCAACAAATCTCGAAAAAAATGTAGTCGGTCATGTGTCGGTGTCCAGTCCCTTCGCAGCGTGCATTGCGAAACAGCAAAAGACAAAAAAAGTCGTAGCGGCAGTAGTTGGAATAAAGTTATAAGCTTAATGACCTCGCTGGCAAGCAGACGTGGCCGTCGGGGCGGGGCTCACGGTGATGTGTTTAGCGTGATCTGGTTGATTTGCTCGGTCTAAAGAGTGTGGTGAATTTGGCTTGAAAAGTGGGTTATTTGGTTTGGAAAGTGGTAAATTTGATTTGAAAAGTGGTGAATTCAAGTGAAAATGGTATGTATAAGAGAAGAGAGACGGCAATGAAAAGCATCCGTCAGCCATCGATCGGACACCCCGTCTTGTCGTGAAACAAGGAGTATACGTGGGCGAGTGCGAATTCTTAAACGCTAACGTCGTGGCATCATTTAATACGTAACGTGCTGCTCTGCGGACGCATACTAGACTAGCGCCTAGAATTATATTCGCAAGTATGCTCCCCGATTCTTCCTAAATAGAACTTGATGACAGGTGCATGGCGTAGCCTAGGACGCCTTACCGCCCAGCGTTATAGATTCTTTTGGATAATGTGCGGTACTTGAAACTGACATGCTTGTCGATGTTTAACAATGGCGAATACAAGTATTAGAATGTAGTAGAAGCAGTAGAGGATCTCCAGAAGGATAACAACCGTCGATGCGCCCTAAAAAATCATTTCTTTCAACTATTAAGTAAGACGTCCTTTGCAAAATTGTGATAAAAATGGTAAGAGATTAACACAGGATGGTTTCCAATGTCACGATTGGATGGCGTCATTTGCTCCTCACGACCCGTTTTCGAAGTTCGCGTGAAAGATCTTTAACTGAAAATTTGCCTCAGAGACCGAGGAATTTGCTGAAACATGTCTCCAGGCGGACACGTGGGTCAGCAAATTTACATTGCGGCTATGCGCAGCAACTGCCTGCTCGTTAGTTCTTAGCTAGTTGACTCTACATACCAAAGGAACCTCACGTAAACTAGCTAGGTCCATGTGCCATTATAGCGCAGTGACACCTTCCGCCGCCCCTGCCGTTGCAACCCTGCAGGTTCGCACGGTCTTGAAAGGTAGTTTAACTCCCTGAACACGATCAGTTCATCGCGAGAATGGCTTGTATCCGCGCTGCATGATCGACATCCTTCAGGCACTGATATTCTAACGCTAAAAGAATCTGGAATGTGGTATTCGCTGGTAACTGGACACCTGAGGCCACCAAACCCGCTGAAAAACTGTTCGTGGCGCTTGGTACCAATGCCGAAGATTTTCGAGCTGAGCGATTTGGGTACTCGTGTTCGGGATGGGACTTTGTCGTCTTTCTAGCCGTATACACTCCTGAGGACAGTTTCCAATGAAAACCAGCCCTAATTCCGAACTGTGGAAAGAATAGACAGTGCAGGACTCATTAGATGCGGTATAGAGTTTTGGGTGTTTTCAATGAGCACACAGGACCCTATGCATTACCTTAAAGGTGACCCGGCAGCAGAAATCTGGCTCTCGTTGGTCAGCTTCAATCGATTTCTCCACAGCGTCGAAGTGGACTTTCTTCATACTGAAATTCGAATGTATTTGTGATCACTAAGTGAGTTGTAGCGTACTCGCTCCTGCGTTACAGACTGGAAGTGGAAGAAGCGCACAGAAATCGAACAAGAAAATGAAAGAAGGTGCAGTGCATATGTGTGAGCAACAAGAGGCATAAATGCGTGAACAACGAGTGCCCAGAAAAAAGGGAGACAGATACGTATTTATAAGATAAGAGAGTCGGCACATGAATATGTAGCACTTACAAAACCACCTCCTTTTGCGTTCCGATATGGACTATGTATGTGTCCAGTGCGTAAAGCTCATCATATCAAATAGCTTATGTGCCATGCAGTCGGAGCTTACAAACTGGTATTTTTCATAAGTGTCTATGGAGATCGCCTGACTGGTCCTACCCTTTTCCAACGTAGCCTGGCAACTTACTTACTTAGACTAAGTTCCTCCCGTGTTGTTGAGCACATCGGGCGACGAATTCTTTCCACTGTTGCCGGTCTTTTGCGATTTCTTCGGCCTGGTCCCTAGAAACATTCATGATTCGCAGGTCATTTTCGAATGTTCGTCTCCACGTGTTTCTGGGACGGCCTCGTGCTCGCTTGGCTCCTGGAGGAACCCAGAACATAGCCACTCTTGGGATTCGATGTTGTTGCATGCGCAATATGTGGCCCGCCAGTCGAAGCCTACGCCGTGCCACAATCACGTGGAGGCTGCTCATACCGCACCGTCGTAGAACTTCGTCATTCGTGACACTGTCCATGTATCGTATCTTCATGATTCGCCGAAGACATCGCTGGTGGAAGGCGTTCATTTTTGACGAGCCTTGGCAGACATCTTCCGTGTCTCGCTTGCATAGAGCGCTGTGGGAATATACGATGGGAAGAATTAAAGTTTCATTTTAATGCTACGCCGATATTGAGGCATTTTCCATATCGGCAGCAGCCGCCTGAACACAGCAGCTGCTTTTGCAAGCCGAGCCCGGACATCCTTCAGCATCACCAGTATGCGTAACGACGCTACCGAGGTATGTGAACGTGTCGACATTCTCTAGCGGAAGTAGTGTCAACGTTTACATCCACTTGCCTGTTAATTCCTACGTGCATGACCTTCGACTTTCAGCACTTATTCGCAAGCCTACCATGCTTGCTTCCTCACTGAGGCTGATGGTGCTGTCTTGAAGTTTATCGTTGTCCCTTAGCAATCAACGCAATGTCGTCCGCAAAGTCTAGATCTGTGACACGGCCTTGGACAGGCCAATCGATGCCGCGCTCTGTGTTTTCTCATCGCTCTCCTCACAAACAAAGTCGAGGCAGACAGTGAATAGCATCGGAGACAGAATGCATCCATGCCGTACTCCAGTGACAATTCAAAGAATGGTGTATAACCGCATTCGTTCTGACACAGCACGAAGAGTTGAGATACAAGCTTCTGAAGATGCTGATGTAGGGCGGAGTACACCGTATTATATGAGGATGGCCCAAAGCGATTCGCGGTGTATGCTATCGAATGCTTTTTTGAAATCGACGAAATTTATGAAGAGCGGATGACGGGATTCCATGCACTGTTCGATAATGTTGCGTAAGCGAAAATCTGTTCGCATCAGACCTCCCGCTCCTGAATCCGGCTTGCTCCTCTCTCAGTCGCTCGTCGATGGGCTCCGCGTAGTCGCCGAAGCAAAAACCGTACAAAATACTTTCCAGGCACAGACAGTAGCGAGATTCCCCTCCAGTTTCCGCATTCTGTCAGGTCCCCTTTTTTGGGCAATTTGATGATCACCTTTTCTCCAGTCTTCCGGAACTTCACCACGAGTCCAGCACTCATTGAACAGTCTCGTCAACACGCTCGCCATGGGTCTTCCTCCTGCTTTTATTAACTTCGGCGCAATTTCGTCAAGACCAGGTGCTTTTTTGTTTCGAAGACATTTGATTGCTTGCTCCGTTTCTTCAACTGTTATGGGACTAACATCAACGTCAAGCTCATCGGAGCCCTCCATCCCTTCAGAACAATGTGTTTCCAATGGCGTCGGCTGGTTGAGGACATCGCTGAAGTGTTCAAGCCATCTTTTGTTCTGCTCCTCATCGCTCACGAGCAACCTGCCATTGCTATCCTTAATAGGCACCTTGGAGTTGTTCGAGTTTTCAGTCAGTTCACCGACAATGCGATAAAGAGTTCTTGAGTCGCCACGATCAGCCGCATACTGGGCTTCAGCACCTTTCTGCGTGAGCCACGCCTTCTTGTCGCGGCGACAGAGCTTCTTCACCACACGATCTAGATCAGCGTATTTCTGACTCGCTTCCTGCAGTTCATGGAGAGTCTTGGCTTGATCTCTTTGGAGCTTCGCGTGTTTCCTCTCCTCTATTTTTGCCACGTCCTGTCTTGAATAAATTGCTCTTTCCGCCTCACACGTCTTCGACCAACGACTGCCCCCGCACTTTCCGCAACTTTTTCTCCGACAGCTTTCCACTTTTCTTCGATGTCATCCGAGTTCGATCCATCTTCTAACGTGGCGAAACGGTTTCGCAGCTCTACGTTGAATGTTGCAGCAACTGCAGGCTTTTTCAACCTTTCCACGTCAAAAGCTCGGGCGGCGACAGTCTTGTTTTGCCGCTTTAGCTTAAGTTTGACTGCGGCCCTCTCCAAATAATGGTCTGAGCCAATATCTGCACCACGATATGCTCGAGCTTCTTGCAAAGATGATCTCCATTTGCGGCTTATACATATATGATCAATCTCATTGAACGTCATTCCGTCGGGAGAGCTCCATGTTTTCTTGTGAACCTCTCTATGTTGGAAGTAGGTGTTTCTAATACAAAGCTCGTTGTGATCGCAGAATGACGCCGAACGTTCGTCGTTGTCGCTGAAACGGATGGAGGGTGCAAACGGGCCAATCGTTCTCTCGAATCCCTGTCGTTCGCTGCATAACTGAGCATTGAAATCGCCTAGCACTATCTTGAGGTCTCTGCGGGGTAGTTCGTCGATGGTGTCCTGAAGCTGTTCGTAGAAGTCGTTCTTGGCTTCGTCACTCGCATCCTCAGTAGGTGCGTAGACTTGAATGACACTGATGCGAGTATGCCTGCTCGAGAATCGTGCCGTGATTATCCTCTCGCTTACTGGCTTCCATCCAACCAAGGCGTTAGTGGCTCTTCTGCTTAGATCGAATCCAACTCCTTTTTCGTGCTTTTCTTGGTGGCCGGAATACAACACCGTTTTGTTATCACTCGCAATGCGACCACTGTTCAGCCATCGTACCTCACTTATTCCGAGTATATTCAGTCGATACTTATCGGATTCTCGAAGAAGTTGTGCGAGGTTGCCAGTCTGATGTAACGTGCGCACATTCCAGGTACCAATAAAAGTTTGGTTTTTGGGTGAGAAAACCGAACTTAGAATCAGGGCATCCGTCACGAAGCTAAAATCCGATTTTCTCGATTCAACAGCTTTAACAACTTTATCCATAATCGTCGTTTCTTTAGCAAGTGATTTTTTTACAGTGGAAGGGTTGCTAGCCCTTCGCACCGACCCTCCTCCTTTCTCATCCGGACTTGGGACCAGCAACGGTGGAGTTGTAGCCTGGCAAACATTCACGAAAACTCGCGACAATCGCTCAACGAAAGCGGAGGTAGTGATTCGGCATAAGTAGCAAGGATTCCACACACCGTTGACCCACCCGTATAGCAGTCTGCCATTAGTGAATGCACTGCTGTATGTCACCTCGCTCTTCTTTCTATACCATTTTCACTTTAAATTCACCACTTTTCAAACCAAATTCACCACTCTTTTTTGACCGGGGTCCTCACCGACGGCCACGCCAATTTGTCAGCGCGGACATAGATTCAACACAACGGCATATGGCCGACTCCGCCCATTCTTCAAAGGGTTTGTTGCGAACTTTGAAATTTCATAACTTTTTCAACTTTCTTACTTCACATCCACTCTTTGCACAACGAAGATACTCGTACTAGATACTTGCACCGGCAATTTAGGCTCCGCCCCCCTCTCGGCCACACCCGCTTGCTTTTCGCAAATTTCGTAATTTTCCCAAAATTTTTGCATTTTTGGGTGCTTCCTGAAGCCCCGCCCACTTTGAAAAAGCTCCACCCACTAGTCGGCAGTACAGAGCCTTGGCTTGCATGCTAGGATCTCGTCCGTCCCTAGGCACAAATAAATCAGGCAAAAATTGTTCCGAATGGCCAGCAGTACCCTAGCCATACAAACCAAGGCTCCATACTGCCGATTTGCACCATTTTCGAAAAGTGGACGGGGCTTTTCAAAAGTAGGTGGAGCCTCTCACAGTTGGCGGCCTTCATGGAGCAGTCCAAAAAGGCAAAAATTTTGGGAAAATATCAAAATTCCGCAAAAGGAAAGTGGGCGTGGCCAAGGGGGCGGGGCCCAAATTGCCGGTGCAAATGCGCGGTTACGAGTATTTCGTTGTGCAAAGATTGGATGTGAAAGCAAAAAGTTGAAAAAGTTATGAAGATCTGAAGTTCGCAACAAACTTCAAAGAATGGGTGGAGTCAGTCATGTGTTGAAAAGCTATATCCGCGCTGACAAGTAGGCGTGACCGTCGCGGCAGGGTTCGCAGTGGCATCTGGCGTGATCTGGCTGCTAAATTGCCCGGTCGAAAAAGAGTGGTGAATTTGATTTGAAAAGTGGTGAATTTAAAGTGAAAATGGTATATTCCTTCGTACCTTGTCTCTGAACACTCGCCTGCCACGCAATGTGCTCTCCCTGGTGATCCCTATGCTTCTCAATTCTTCCGAACATTCGTTCAATGCTCAGCATCACTGCAAGATAGGATCTCAACCAAGACGTTTTAATGGTTTTGTTAGGTTTTTCTTCACTGGTAGATTGAGTAGCATCTGCAGCTTCATATTTTAGTCCAAATTCCCATCGACTTGCAAAGTAGAATGCGCCGTTAGGGGCACAGAGTGCAATTACTTCAACGTGGACGTGTGTTCTTCGCGATTGTTCTGGCCCGAAGAGGCCAACCAATAGGTGCCACTCTAAATCGTAAC